GATAGAGCTTCACAGAATCATCAAGTACGAATAACAACAAAGCCTACCGAGTCAAGGAGCACAGATACATGCACGACTGACACGCAACCAGAAGAGGGGACAAAGGAGTAACGAAGTCAAGAGACTGACACACAACCAGAAGAGGAGAGAAGGAAGTAAATGAACACGAAGTCAAGTCAAAAGTCCCAAATACGGCGTTCCCAAAAGACAAACATGAAGCATCGAAACTGTCGGACGCAAGCATCCGGCTGACACGACCCGACCGGTTTCGGTTGGCTGCAAGACCAGCACTCATGAGGGGTCTTGTATGTCGGTAACGAGCCTGACTGTAGTCTTCAATATATACGAATCCTATACTAAGCCTATACTAACAAAAAAAAAGAAAAAAGTAAAAGGTAGTCAACAAGGCTCGTATCATCTTCACCGATCAAACAAAAAAAGGGGCTTCCGACCAGGGTTCGAACCCTCTCACACTAACAGTCCAATCTACTACCGTACAGATCGTGAGCTCGAAGCGCCTCAAAACGAAAAACTCTAAGAAACTAGAAACCAAAAACTCCTCACGTTCGAAATAACTACAACACATTATACGTCAAAAGCATCCTCATACTTCACGACTAATCATTACGGGTTCAAACCACTGCCGCTTCAACAAAAACAAGGACCAGGTCGCCAGATCGAATCCCCTCCACTTCAAAAAGGTTAAAAAACAAAAAACCAGAAAGAAATATATTAAAAAATATTATTACAAAAATATTAAAAAATAACTATCTATGGACCGACCACCACTTCATTTCGACCCCTTCTTCCAACCTATTAATACCGGAACCCAGTGATCCCATATCCCCCCAAACTTCCTTGAAAAATTGACCAATGCCTTATCGAAACAATCAGCAGGATATGAATGCCGCAACAATTCAGCCTTTAACGTGAACAAAAAAGGAAATTTTGAACTAGGTAGAGTAGAAAAACGTTTAGCGCGGTGTAGAAAAGAACTGATCACCGCAGTCTTCTGCAGCTTACAGGAGTAAGAGCAAAAATCCTGGATACTCTGGAAAATCAACTTGTCGTTGACGTCTCCCCGCTGATTTTTATGGCACGACATGCAAGTCAAACCAACCGAATCATTGAAGATCTTTAGCACACAGCCCAAGTAGTCCCAACAGTTCCCCTCACTGGTTCTTTCTAACTTCAGGTTATCATCATAGCACCTCTCGAAGACTTGCAAAATTCTCTCCCCTTTGTCCAAGGACCCATCTTTCTTCAATGCAACAAAAATGGACACATCATCTACGAGGCGAAACCCATGTACCAGCAGCCGATCAGCACCAGGAGAAGATAAAACAAAAGTTCATTGTACGCACATAAAAGACAGGCTAGCACAGGGCTGGAGGACTTCCCCATCGGGATTCCCATATTTTGTTGCAACAACCTCTCGGCAACCCTGACGAAGGTATGATTCAACTCAAAACGAACAAAGGCACCTATGAGACTGAAATTCACCAAGCGCTAGCCTTCTTGATTCTTCCCTTTCGCCAACTTAGCTCCCTTGCCTCTACTCTTAACAAACAGTCCAATCACGCCCTTCTCCGTCCAGAAATCAATGACCCAGTCCACAACAGTAAGAATCGACCGATGAGGGAGGTTGGAAAACATCTCTTGCACATCATAGGATACACCGACAAGCATTTCATCCTTCTTAACGGTCATGTTGATCCTAACCACCTCAGCTACCAAATCCTCTACACAACGAAGATTAAAATTAGACTGCCTCGGTAGATTCCACAACAAGCAATTAACCATCCTCGACGTAACTCTTCCACTTGTTGCAGAGCACTCCGAAAAGGATGGACGTATCGGTCGTCATGGACTCGTGTCTTTATGCTTCGGCAAACAATAACCACAGCCGAAATCACCATTGCATGTCCATTAACCAACATTACCCAATTTCGCCGATTGATACTTGTCCGCCATATCCTTGCGAACTGAGTCCACCGCAAAGTCATCAAAAGCCACAAATGCAGGATTCTCCAAAAACAACTTCTTTAGCCCCATCTGATAGATAAGCGGGCAGCATGCGTAGGTATCACCCATATTATGATCCAATGGGCTGCATACCAACCCCTGCAACTGTCGTTTAAAAACTGTCGCATCATCAATGCCGCAAGGAACCTCATGCGTGTTGCTGGCCATAGGAATCAGACAAGAAGACAACACTGCAAAAATTGAGGAATCTACATCTAAAGAAGGTGAAGTAGAAAAGGAAGAAAAAACAGTGACAATTTGTTCCTTTAAAACAGAACTTGAATGCACACGTGAGGGTCTCAAGACATTTTTACCGTTCTTAACCCAATCGGGAAATTCATCAAAATCATAGAATCTAAAAGCAACGTGACCATCTCTCCGTGGGAAGTTTGTCCTTGATAACGCGCATCTACACTCAATATCTGTTGACCTATCAGCCTTCCGAAAATTATGCAATTCGTCACCAACCGTTCGGTTCCGACACCAAACTACCCTCATTCACTTGACAATGACCTCCTTCCAAACTGGGGAAATTTCCAACGACCGAACGAGTCGTGCACATAATCTGCGAACTCTCACCTTACTCACCAATTCGTCATAAACCAACTTAATAACCAATCTCTCTCCCACTTGAACATGGAATCGAAGAGATATTGTTCGGGACAAAATCTGTCTGAGTCTGCCTCTAGTCCGTTTCTCACTGAAGGCGCGAACTGCTGTAAAGGCTAACACTAACAAATCAAACTCCGAAAGACATAAGCTCGATCGTGACGGTGGGTTACTCAATAACTGAATCAAGGTGGGTTTAAGAGTCAGTGACTTACTTAAAAAAGGAACAACAAACTCAAAAATCAACACAACCCCACTCTTAATCCATCCTCGAGAATGACGAAACAAACCACGTCCATATTCGCTTGAAATCAACGAACCACCATACGCATGTTTCAACACTTTCCATTTATCTACACAGATTGTGCCGCCCTCACAAACAACAGTACAACGAAAAATACGAGAGGTACGACACTTCTCTAAAATAGAAAGTAAACTATGGCTGTGGATACCAACAGAGGAATTGAAAACAATTAAGGAGCAACTCCTACCACAAGACACAGATCCCACCTGCCCACCGCGTCTGGCCTTTCGCAACCTCTCACGTAATCCAGGACGTTGCCGGCGAGTACGTTTCCTTTTATCTCTGATGTTGAGATAGGGGGAAAACATACGAATAAAGAACTTCTCACACAACTCGTAATCATCATCGGGACATAGACACAACAGAACAGGGAAATAGCAGTGAGCCCCACACCTCCGTAGCTAGCGATACAAACATTCATTCCTT